CGGGGGGGGGGGGGTATTCATGACAGAGAGTGCGGCTGGGAGACGCGGACGGGATGATCGCGTTGACGCAATGTCATTCTCTACCCCGCAAAACACCGTCCCACTATAAGGTTTACCCACAACAAACTGACGAGTACCCAAACACGCACTTGACACATAATCGTTCCGGTTGCGGCGGCGAACGTTGGGCAGGCTGGGGGGTTGCTCGCCGACCAAGGGCGCGCGCTTGGGGGAGCCCGGGGGGGAAGAGGAGATGCCATGGGAGGGGCTGCTATGGGCGCGCTGCGGGGGCTGAGAGGGCTGGGGGCTTCAAATCTTCCGAAGAAAACGGAGAAGACGGTGGTGGCAGCTAGGGAGCTGACCGGTTTTTTGCAGGGCTTTATCGAGCAGGTGGGAGATTATTGACAAGGCGGAAGGGTGCGTTAGTCTAGGATAAATTTGGCGGTTTCAGAATTGTTTTGGGGAGACGGGCGGGGCAATTATCTTCTGTGCTCAGCGGGAGCGCTCGGGCCAAACTCCATCAAAACGAAGCAATGGTGGAGTTTGAGGAATCCTTCGGGCTGAGAGCAGACGCATGAGTTCCTTTGGTATTTCCCCCTTTTCCCACTTTCCTTTTCTTCGGCCTCTTAAAACCCAGTAGGCCAACGTGAGAAGAGCTTCCTCCCATCTACTTGGCGTTTTATGTACTGCTCACGCCCACACTCCCGTGGCGATCTGGCAACATGACCAAACCTCAAAACGTACCCCCGTCCTCCGTTGCTTTTCTTTTCGCAGAGTTTCACGCGGGAAGAGTTGACCCGATCGTACAGGGAGCCGTTATGGTGGGATCGACTGATCGGGACCCCGCCAAGCATGCGTCAGGTGTGATGGTGGTGATATCGAAAACGCCTTGTACCTCCCCTTGGCTGGCTAAGAATTCGCGTGCTATAGTGCTGCCCGGTCTCAACAAGCGACCAGGAGACCACGGGTTCTATACCAGTGCGCCACCAAGGTAGCGTTTGTTCCCGTTTCGTGTCCCGGGATGCGTCCAAGTAAGCAACTGTTTCGGTGACCAATCATTTTTTTGCTGATACTGGCGTCATTCTTCCTTCCAAGTCCTGGTGATCTATACTGCTATATTGTCGGTGGTTACCTCTTTTGTGGTGGAAATCAGCTTTCTTTGTCCCAGTTGGCTACCTCGCCGTGAGTCTAGATGACTACAGGGTTTGTCTTGTGGATTTGAATCAACCACTACCTCGATCAACACCCGATCTATCTTGTTCACCAAGCTCACACTTGTTTGTCCTCAGTTTTCCCAGGATGTAAGGTGCTGTCCGTACCTGCTCATTGAAACATACAACCTCAAACACGTGTTTGTTGATGTCACCTTTCTTGTGTTGCTTCACACGAGTTAATTATTTCGCTGCCCCACATTATCGTCCCCTCTCTGTCTCTACAGCTGGCTACCTATCCGTGCATCTTGTACCCGGACCACAAGAACTGGTTCACCAACGCGACTTTCCTCGGAATCGAGGTAAGAACAAATCAGGCAGCCATCAATGACGGCCTAAGCTTTCCCCATCTAGCTTCGCCCTCAACTTGAGTACGACGGCATTTTGCAACCGGTTTCGGGCGAACAATAGTATTATTGACCGCCATTCGGTTGAGGTAGCCACGCACGGCACACAACTTGCATTCGGTTGAGGTAGCCACGCACGGCACACAACTTGCACAGGAAAAATAATAGTTGTAACCACGTTAAAGTAAGCTTCAAATATGAACTGGAGGGGGGGGGGGGGGTGACAAGACGGGGGGCATGGAGAGGCACAGTATGTAACGGGGTATGACACACCCGCATCGTGTTGTACTTGTTTGCATCACCCATTCTATTGACCCCGCAAACGTTTCTCCAGTGGCATGGTTCGCGAGGCACCAACCTAGAGCAAGGGGTCTCCAAGGTTTTTGTGATAGAGCGGGTGCCTTCCTGACCATGCCAATATTTTCTAGTGTTTCCCCCGAAACCTCCCCCACCCCGGCCCTACCCCCGTCCCTGTCCCCGCCTCCGTCCTCGCCCCGTAACCGTAACTGTCTTCATCTTCATCTCCATCTTCGTCTCCATGCCGCCGACATCAATCTACACACGTGCGGGTGCTATGATGTTGTGTTCCTGGTCTGGAACGGACTGCATGGTGCGGTGGGTTTGTTATCCAATGGCTTTCCCTCAATCGTCGACTTCGACGAATGTATGCATACAGCTCGACCTCCTTCTGTTAAACATGACGGCTTTCCATCTCTTCGACCAGTGGTTCGGTGACCCGACGACTTCCGCGCTTCTCACCTTCCTGCTGGACAGGTAAAAGCTACGGTAGATGTACAGTAACGGTTTACAGACGTCTTGGCAATAATAGCATGTATGTATGCGTCGCCGGTGTTGTAGCAGCGGTTGTGCTTGAAGGGGGATCAGGAATTCAGTCCCGTCTTCTCACCCTCCATGTGAGCGCTGACGGACCTGGTCAAAATAAATTAGACCACCAGAGGTAGGCTAAACAGCAACGTGTGTGAGTGCCTCAAAGCAAGGAGCAAGTAAGTGGACCTGCGCTCCCATTATGTTTCTTTGTCCTCGTGGATGGAGGGTACGAGGTTGTCAGCGATCCTTTGAGAATGAATGCCCCACCCACAGTCGATGAGTATTTGATGTGAGAATTAGCTCAACCTCCTCACTACCAGATGATAGCACTCTGGTGAACGAGTTAACGCCAAATGTTGTAAATGGAAAAAAGGGGAACGACCTGTCTGTCTGTATCTGTCTAGCAGAACTATTGTAACTAATTATCTTCTAAAGGCAGGCGAAATAGATGCAGGGCTTGAAATTCGAAGAAATCAGGAGAAAAGAGAAGAAAAATTAATGGGGAAAATGAAAGGCATCATTTTCATATGAATGACATACAGCCTACCTCGTACCCACAATAGTTGGAACACAACAATAACAACAAAACAACAACAACAGCAAACCAAATACACCAAAGAGAGAAGAACCATTTTTTAATGGAGCACAAAAGATGGAAAAAAGAATTTTAAAAAGAAAAGAAAAAATGATGAAAAAAGTATTGCCCTATCAGTGATTGATGGTAAATCAACCCCTGGCGAGACTCGAACTCGCAATCTTCACCTTAGGAGGGTGACGCCTTATCCATTGGGCCACAGGGGCTTGGTTCAGTGCCCAAATTTTCTGTTTATAAATTGTGTCGCCAACCAACATTTTCGTCCCGATCATTTTTCACGGAACGAGCATGTACCAATCAATCCTGCATGTTAGCAACATTAATACGTCAAGTCCTCAATCTTACTGATGACTTGTGCTGCATGGCAGACAGCTGCCTTCCCAAACACTCCGTGTTTTTTGTTGATCAGAAGCAGGAGGGAGCACACCGCGGACCCAAGCACCTCGTTTTATCCGCATCTTACATCTCTCTCCGACGATCCATGATGTCTCAGCTGACAGTGTTTTGTATTCTGTCGCTGCTTTCTTGTGAACGTGCAGGCTGGTGCTGGGTGTAAGGGCATACTTCGGCCGTGCGAACGTGTCTCGTAAGACTCTTGTAGACGATCGCTTCTTGCTCTGAGGTATAGTTAATGCGTGCAGTCCAGTCCAGAGTAGAGAGTTGCTGTGGACAGAGAGAGACGGCAACACCGCGCCAGGGACGACTCCGCATCCACAGCATCAGCAGCACAGGGGGCGCACGAACAAGACGCAGGAGAGAACACAACGGCCATCGATGAGAGCGTCTAGTGCGAAGCAAACAGCGATGGAGTCGCGACTACTGTCGTATTCCTACAGCAGTACTTATTACCACGGCGTGCTGTATGTATGTACCGATATCCGAAAGAAAAGACCTTTTTTTGCAACTGCTGTTAACTTGGTTTTTGCAGTGTTGTTTCTTCAAGAGACCGGCGTTCTTTCTTTGCGTGGGTGCCCGTGCTCTCGTGCTCGTGCGCGCAGGGTGCGTGGTATCCCCAAAGCTGTGTACAGTGTACACAGAATGTTCTCGAAGATACCACTACATATACTGCTGTATGTGTCACGCATGCCACTCTTTGATGGGATGATGTAGCTACGTTGTCCAAACTGCGGGCACCTTCGGTGTTGTAGTCTAGACTAACAGGCCGTCTCGATCCACAGGGTTCGGCGTTCGTTTGGCTGTGCTGTGTGGCTACATAGACCGCGTCGGGAACCTACTGCTGTAGACTAGACAACATGCGTTTCTGACAATGTGTACTTCTATGTGGCAAGCATACTCACCCCAGATGCATTGGCGAGCATATCGCGCCACAACTGTGCGCATGCTTGTAGCACACCAAAACGAGCCACCCCCGCCTACTGCTGTGCTGCTTCGGCTTATTTAGTGTCTTTTCGCAAAGGTGAGGATGTTGAGGCGTTTGTTTCCCGTCGTTCGGAGGTTGCTAGCTACAGTAGGTGCAGGTGAATCACCTCTAACACGTTTCAAGAAAACCTCAGCGGTCGGGAAGCCGACTGGACCTCTAACCAAGACAGCCCTGGGCGAACACAAAAGTGTTATCATTATTGGTTTATTGTTCGTTCCTTTTCTTGGTACATTGAAACCGATCTGTCATGTCAATCGCCACGAGGTACAGCACGCACACACGGCACTACATCTTTCTTATACACGAAATACGACGTCGCATTACCCACGTTTACCTTGAGTAGACCCGTCAATCCCTACCCCGTCAGCCATCAAACCTGGGCACAAGAAGCTTGCCCCACGCAACTAATGTCGCAACCGTACGCAGCAATACGCAAGAACACCACAGGTCCGGATGCACTTGTCTACAGACACACCAGGGGCGAGCGGTCCCAAGAACATGAAGATTGACGAAGCGATCGCCGTTCGGCTTTTGCACCGATATCTTGTTTCGTCTCATGTACATAGCCTAGGCTATACCACGCTTCGGCACAACTTCGTGGAAATAACAACGCTTCAAGGTGGACTCCAATCCGTCATTGCACGATCTGCCAAAACACCAGTGTTCCCAACTAAGCGGTTGTCTACGATATGGCAACCCCGAGGTACGAACTGATGGTTGGACCAACATGTCCCCACTTCTGCGGGCTGAAAACGGGCATGAGGCGACAGGATTCTCGCAGTACACGCGAGAGTTGCTGCTGTCGCTACCGCTGCTGCAGCAGCGTTTTCGGCAGCAACGGCAGCTTGGAGATGTGAGCCCGGTTCGCCGACACCCAGAGTAGGAGCCTCGCGATCTGTTGCGGAGAGAAGGCGCTCTGCAACCTCTCCATAACCTCCTCAAACTTGGCCGTCTTAGCCTACGTCAACAGAGGCGGACAGGAATCCATCAAGCGGGTCGAGAGGGAAAACCAGGGGTGGGGACAGAAAAAACGAATGTTGGAAGGACGCCGCCACAAACTTAAGCATCGGAATACAACACCGAAACAGAGGCATCAGCATCGTCGGTCAGCAATCCGCGACACACGTTTCGGACTTGTGCCGTATTTTGGTTACCCTGTATACACAGAAGTAGGATCCTACTGGCTTGGACCGCACGGGGGGTCGGTCGCGACCGCTTTCATCACAAAAAGGACTGTCTCACGATACCCTCAACAACAAAGGCCCACGGCTTAATGTGTCACAGCTTCTAAACAAGTTCCAAGAATTTCGACTCTCATGTTAAGTGTTCCATCAGACGTCCTCAAAACGAGGGAAACACGTCAAGAGAGAATACGTCCAACGATTTGAAGGTAACCAACGGAAGGAATGGAGGGAGGGGGGGGGGTGTACTCATAGTCGTGCATGCCGTAGTCGTTAGACCATTGACCTCGCATCCCTACAAAGCCGGGACGGAGCACGCCGGGTTCTCACCGAACCAGGCTCTCACATCACCAAGCGCGAACCGCCGTGAGGTATTCGGCGAGTCGCATGAAGGGTGCGCTGCATCCTGCTAAGGGTGTTCGGCATCTTGTGCTTACTTCCTTGCGTACGGATGACAGCTGCGTATGACTTCATTTATTTTCTGGTGCGTTCACTTCCAGAGACAATTGTAAGCACTGTGTAACGGCCTCGAGGGTGCTTGACCAATTCAACACAACGTGCGATTATCCCCTTTGCGCGGAGTGAGGGTTCTCCACCCCGCACAACATAATCTACTCGACCACCATTCATGGTTACCGCAAAAAAAAAAAAGAAAGGCAAAAAAAAAAGCAGTAACCTGGTTGCCGAGCTCACGAAGTGAATCGGCTTGTTTTACAACATCGCTGCCAAGCGACGAAAACCCAACCCCGATGGCAAACACCGGGGGCGGCGGCTTGTTTTACAACGTCGTTGCCAAGCGACGAAAACCCATCCCCGATGGCAAACACCGAGGGGGGGGCTTGTTTTACAACGTCGTTGCCAAGCGACGAAAACCCAACCCCGATGGCAAACACCGGGGGGGGGGGGGGGGATTCCGGGGGGGGGGGGGGATTTCTGAAAAAAAAGGGGGCTGGGAAAACCCGAAGGGAAAAACCCGTTTAACCCATGGTCTTTTCCACCCCCCAAAAAACCCCCCCCCTAAAAGGGTTACCCCCAAAAAAATGAAAAATACCCCAAACCCCCCTTTAAACAAAAACCTTTCCGTTGGGGGGGCCAAAATTTGGGAAGGGGGGGGGGTTGCCCCCCCAACAAAGGGCCCCCCTTTGGGGAACCCCGGGGGGAAAAAAAAAAACCCTGGGAAGGGGCTCTTATGGGCCCCCTCCGGGGCCGAAAAGG